ACAGCATTCTAGTGCACAGGAGAAACTGCTGGTGGAAATGAAGGAAAACCTTCCTGCAGCCATTCTCTGGGCTGTGCAAATGGGCAAATGCAACTTTCCGTTTCGAAGCACATTTTGCTAGAGAAGAGCGCTTTCTATCCTGTTTGTTCGTTACTGGTTGTCCGTACTCTTCCTTCCCACTCCACTAACCTAGAGAACAATGATCGGTCCCTGGTATCACAAGAGATCCAATAACCTGTGTAAACCTCAGGGCAATACATAGCACCTCTTTGAGAACCAAGATGATCAGGAGTACAGAGTGCAGGGTAAGAGCAATTCTAGCAAGCAAGCAAGCAAGGCTGTTATGGGGGCAACCAGAATCTATTAAGTAGAATATGTCAGGAAAAGTTAGGATAAGAAAACAACCAAAAAATAGAGCTGAGAATAAGTGTGTTTCTTCAACAAACAAATGAGTGTCAAACTAGACGTGTCTGCAAAGGGTCAAAGGGAGATGCTGAGAAATGGCTTGTATGGCAAGAGAGCAAGCCAGACCGGAAGGAAAGCAAAAAGCCGCAAGGTCACTGAAATGGCAGAGAACAACGGCCATAACAGCAGGGCTAACGTAACCTTGATAAGACCTTAACACATTCCTGAGAGGAATATAGAGAGAATGAACACAAGTGCTGGCATAAAGTCACTTGCAGTTTTCCCAAACTTACTGGTCATTCCACTACAATGTAATGCATTCATATTGGATACAAATCAATCTTTTGAAGCTTTCTACTCTCCTCAACCTGAAAAAGGGAGAGAAAAGGTACCTTGCTCTGCAGCACCCTTAGATTTTTTCTTTCTTCTCATCAAAATCCCAACTCTTCTCTAGTCTTGGGAAATGACCCTCATCTTTTCATTCCCACTGAATACCAAACACAGGTTGCAACAGATAAATATTCTTACGGTATCAATGACTAAATCTTTCTTCTGTTAAACCTAACCATGCTTCTAAGATACTGCAAGAAGAGAAACCCACTTCCAGTAGCTCTCTGCTGATTTGCCTCCAACAGGAGATGTTGTCTCCTCTCCCTTTCCTGCAAAGGATGCCTATGCCATCCTACAAACACAGCTTCTGTATTGCAGAGTTATTGGGAGAGTGGATGGGTCAGCCAGTGAAGTAGTATATTAAAATATTGAGGGAGATGAGAAAGGGACTCATCAACTTTTCCTTCTTTGTCTCAGGCTGTCCAAGACAGCCTGGGAACCCTTTTGTGAAGAGGACCCCTCAGCTGTGACCCCAGTATGTGCTCCACTCTGTGCGTGTTTCAGGGCCAGTCAAGCCCATCAAGCTCCTGTACTTTCCGGGCTTCTGACTCTAGATTTTCCACGCCTTGCATGAGGTTGCAAAAGTCTTACGCAATTGCACAGATTGAGAAAAAGCAACAGAAGGCTGAAATGGCTTGTACAGAAGTCATATGGACATGGCACTTCTAAGTATACTACTTTGTTAGGGTAGTGGAGATCTTAGCATACGAATAACAGAAGGGCAGTTTCTAGTAAGTGCAATTTAAAAAAAAAAAGAAAAAAAAAAGTCTGAGGCACAGTTGAACTCTTTTTTACAGGGCTAAGCTTGAGGAATAAAAAGAAGTATAAAAACCAATAACCTTTCACATTAAGGTCAAGTGGTTTTTAAAGTGGTGTCTGGACCATATTTTCTTCCATCTGCCTGATTTTTAGCTGATTCATAATGTTACGAACACCGGCCTGGATCACTCATTTCTCTCCCCAATATACTTTGTGGTAATACGAAAATATGCAGTTTCTTTAGCCAGGCATAATTTTTTTCTTTTTTGCTGAAGTATTCAGTATTTTCTTAAATATGTTCTTCCACTTTGTAAGGAAGATCTATTTACAAATCACAACTCCTTAGGAAGAATATCAGTAGCAATAATTTCACATGGCAATCTTGATGCACCAAAAAAAGCAATGCTCTATGTTGCCCCTAGCAAAATTTTGACCAACTGCTAATTATATTGTAAACAGCTGAACAACGCGGAAAAAAATGACCTATGTCTAAGTTAACTTTGCACAAAGTTGCTAGTGGTGGCACCATGGTAAGGCAGCACACTCAGTTCCACATTTAATTAAAGGACAGAAATACTTCTAAAATGTTGTCATAACATATAAAGGTGGGCAGGATGGGTGAGATTTGAGTTGTCTCCAATGTTCCTGCACTGGAGGCAGTCAGCTAACACAGGTGTTTATTGTGTGCTTAACTGGAGGAGGCTGAAGGAAGAGTAGCTGGAGGAGTTTGGTGAGCCTGTTGTAGCTGAAGATGGATGTGACTTTTGCAGTCTCTGAGAAGAGATTGTTCTCACAGTTCTTGTTTAGGTGACCAGCTTGGATGATCTCTGTCAGCCTTTCTATTGTTTTAGGTGAAACGAACAATGACAATACGAAACACCATAAGGGAGGCCGTGTAAAGTGCTGAGGAGGAAGAAAGGAAGAGGAAGAAAGGAGTCAAGGGAAGAAACTGGAGGATGGGAATTAGGATCACTCCTATTTTTTTTGTCTCTCTAAACAGCAATCTATCATGAAGAGATCCAGGTCTTTTCCCTTGCACTACTTAATTTACTATCTGCAATTCAAGCTTTAATTAAGGCTAGGCTTAATCAGCTTTACGTATGTTGCTGAAATGAGTCTGGATAATGTGTCCAACCTAGACATCTGTCTGTCCCTCAAACCAGATCAGCCACAGTTTGCTGATGGAATAGCAGTCTTGGATCTTAGTCTTGCATCTAGCAGTTTTGCCTGTTTGCCTCAATTCAGGACATACCAAGTAGCACTTCAGTAGTACATCTCAGGCTATCTCCTACACATCATGCTGCAGCAAAGACAATAGAGTAGTAGCCAAGCCAAGATCATCCAAGAAAATGAAATGATACTTCACTCATAGAATCAGAAAGAGTATTATGGAATATATCAGTTTCTCTTTGGTAAGTAAATCAACATCAGAAATAACATTTGCATCATCCCCAATGTCTGATCCCCTCATAGCAAAACCACCAGGCCTGTTTGATTCTTAAAAAGCAAAACTGAAAAGCCAGTCTTTGTAATCTTCAATTGAGCCAGTTGGTAGAAGCAAATGCAAAAAATGAGATGTCTTGCCATTGCCTGTAATCTAAACCTAAAGACACTAAGCCCACAGAGATACATTAAAGTCAGGGAGCCCGTCAGGAAAGCAGATGGCAAAATAAACAATAATCCAGAAAAAAAAGCACTAAACCTCTTGCTGGCACTTAATAGCAACATGGGTAGGACAAATCTCACCAGGGTAGAGAACGTTAACAGACTGTTTGTGACAAAATGAAATAAAATTATTTGAATTGACACTTATGCTCTCATAAATCTGACCGACACATCTAATACTACTGTTTTGCCCTGGGACTTCAGCCTTAGCTTAGGATGCTGAAAGTTGCTTTCATTAGGAACAGGCATGTGATGGAGCCCAGCATCCTTGATACAATTCAGTTTCTACAGAGGGTCCTATGTACTGGCAGACAAGAGGACTCATCTGGCAGAGCACAGTCTTTGTTCACAGCTCCCAGCCTATTTCTGCTAACACTTTGCCCCAAAGGTCTGTCTCCAAGGGCTCTCCCTGAGAGTTTGCAGTGCTAAGGCTGTGCAGGGTTTCACTGCTGCACCTTTCTCAGCTTTTTTTAGGGGTAGTTTGCTTTCTGTCTTTACTAATTACAGTTCCATTAATCAAAGCTTTAGCCTTTCTATTTTCTGTGTCAAATCCCAGGAAAGTCTTCTGGGCTACATTCAGCTAGATAAATCCCATGTTTCAGGGACTGCCTGTTGTTATGTCAGCTACTGTGTCATAGAAAAGAAGCTGAATTACTACCTCCACATATTCAGAAATATGGTTGCTATATTGACCCACACATTTATGCGTACGTACCTTTCCTAATGCTATATGAGCACACGTTAGAGAAAATGCTGGTTTTGGCAGGAGACTCTCTGATCTATGGTTATGGTTGCTCAGGTCTCCATTTGAACGCTCGGCTGAGAGGTTTCAGTGGGTACCTTGCCTCCTGTGGTTTAGATGCACTTTCCTGGGAGCTGGCCTTATTGCACAGTGAGAACCAGCTCTGTCCCTGGAGAACTGTAGAGAGAAGGGGCATAAGGGGAAAAGAGGCTACTCCTTACTTCTACCCTGATATATTTTAGTCAACCAGTCATTGTCCATGTGCTTACCACTATGTGAAATGGCCCAAAGACCTGCTGTGCCCAGTGAGGAGAGGCAGAAAAGCCTCATTGCAGTGTCCATATTTCATATATCTCACCAACAAAAGTTTTCCTTGTTTTTTTTTTCTTTCCTAGTTTTAAATAGCCCTTTAAAAAAAACCCAGCAATTAAAATAGAAAAGCCTCTAGATATCTATCTAGCAAGATAATTTCAGACTGAGATTAAACTCTGCTCTTTTGTATCTGACCCTACAAACTTATTGCTGCCACGAAGACAACTGCAAAAATAGGCTCCACCTGCTGAGCTGATCCAAGAAGGCAGAAACACCAATATCTCTTCGACCTCTGACATTTGTCTAAATGACTGCAGTGCCCTTTATTAGTATTGCAGTGACCTCTAGGGGCTTGATCCGAGCCCACTGGCTTCATTGTCCCTTACTGACTTACCCCAAATTTCCAGAAAGTTTTCTAAGCTTGGAAGGATGAGTATTTAATGTATGGATGAAACAAACAGTGTGTCTGATGAGAAACAGAATAGCCTAAAGCCTTCCATCTCAATGCTGCTGATGTCTGCATGGTTAAAAATGAACTACCTAAGGCTATATGAACCCCTGGTGTTAGCCTGAGCAATGCATTTACATCCATTTACCTGAAATCTAAATTTGGTTTATTGCATTTCATAACCACATGGAAGACGACAGCATATCTTTAATGCTGAATCAGAGCAAAAAGTTTCCACTTCTTATGCATATCAGCACAAAAGAAACCACTTCCACTTACCCAGGAGTACTGTAGATCCATATCAGTTAAGGAATATGTAAGATGTGGCTGATGAGAAGAGCAAGTACAGTTTTCCCATTCTATTTTTGAAATCAAGAAGTCACAAGGACAGAGCTGGTTATCAGGAAATGGTTTCCAGTCACTCCACAAGTGAAATTCAGTTTCCGAATGTATTGAAATAGTTCCTAAGTTACTAAGTCTGGAAGTGTATGACCGGCCCAGAGATGCAGAAATAAAATCTGCCCTAGTCTCAGTCTCTTCTTTTCTCCTCATGCTGTCTTTCCAGGTCTTCTTTTCCTGAGATTTTGTCAGTTTCATGCAAGAAGTTAATGCTTCTTCATCCTCTTCAGAGAGGTAAGCATCTTCTAATGTATCTTTAAAAAGGCAAATACTTCTGTTATAATATGTTGCAATTCATAGAGAAAATAGCACACTTTTTTTCTTAAATACTCTCTGTTGCATTCTATGTAATAAAAAAACCTAAGGACTCCATAAAAAACAAATAATAATGATAATTAGGGAGATGGAAAGGATTTTGTACTCGGTCAGATATCTGAGCCAAAAGCAAGATTTATTCTCCATTTGGTAAATTTGTCTTGTTCCCTCAAAAGCCTGGAAAATCGTACTGGTTCTGCACTGAACATGAAAATTTGCTAATTGAACGTCATATTGCTGCATAGTTGCAGAAAGCATGAGTTTAGCTTAAATACTGGAAAAGTTTGGAAAGCTTTTCTGGATAATTCCTCTCCAATCCCTTCCCAGTATGTATGTTGTAGTTACAAAGTAGTTGCTGAAATCTAAATTTCCTCATGTGTTTCAGCTCAAGCAATGATTTGGCTGGAGCAGTAGTTAATCAGATAGTTTAAACTCATTTTGCTAGTATTGGTTTAAAAATAATCATATACACAAATGCATTCTACAACGAATGCATGCACCGTTAAATTAATGTTGGCAAAACAAGTTCAGATGAAGAACTGCTGCACAGTAAGATCAGTGATCTATAGGAGACTCCAGAAAATAACCTGAGCTCAGCATCAGTTTAGAATTCCTGTGTCTTATGGCCTTAGGCAATCAGGTGTGATGAGAGGCTGACTTGCTTATCACACCACATACCACTTCTTGCGCTCCCAGCTGCTACTGAGTCACGGATTAACACTGAAAAGTTATCTTTGCATTTGTGAGTTTTGCCTTTCTGATCTGAAACATGATGCAAAACAAGGAACTGTGTAAAACAAATTATCCCCAGCACGGGGGCCCCACTGTTATACAATTCTATTTAGCTAAAATCCCCACTTGCAAGATATACTGTTACAAAACTCAAGCTAGTGTGACAGGAAACAGGTTTTCACACTATGAGGAAGTCAGCACTAAAGTGGTATCACAGTAACATCTCAGTTGGGGTTTGAGAATCGTGGGTGGTGAATGACAGACCAGGACAGGATTGTTTACTGTTATGTTCGATACAGTGTCATTTGCCAAATGTTGGAAAGAATGCTGATATGATGCTTTACTTACTGAGGGGGAGCAAAACGTGTTTGACATCCTCCAAGCTTTGTGCACTTGTTTTTTTGGTTCGGACCAGTTTCTGCAACCGTTTTAACGTTCCCGTGGACTCTGCTTTATCATCTGGTTCTGTACCCTGGCAAAAAATGCAAAGACGTTAAAAGTGTTCAAGCCCTACAAATAAAAACTAAGAGTAACATGGTGCTTATTTTGAGAATGGCAAAGTCTCAGATTCAAAGAATAAATCATCTACACAATGCTTTAAAAGACAGGGACTTCCTTGCTTGGGACCAATAGATACAGAAAAGGAAAAAGGCAAATCAGAAGAAGCATCAAACTTAGATCAGTATTCATATTGCTGTTTATATATTACTGTTCTTTAATGTCCAAATATTACTTAATACTTAGTTCCAGATTAGTTCCACGAAACATTTTAATATATGCATCCACATTATCCCAAAGTATTTTAGGTATGCACAGAAATCCCAGATGTGGCGAGCTACTGCATTTAAATACGGATGGGAGTGTGTTCTGAAATAATGATGCATTCTTTTATTCAAGGCCTTATTTCCTTTCCTAGATTAAATGACAATAACATAAATGACCATTCAAATCTGTTCTTGTGCATTCCAACAACATCCTACTGGAGAAACTCAAAGTTTGGGTACTACAGGCTCCCAGAGCAGGAATTTTGTGAACATGCAAGCATCTCACACACGCTTTCACTTATGCTAAACCAGCTACTATCTTGCAAATAAGTCCAAAAATGCTTCTGTTCTCTTCCAATCTGACTCTGAACTTCTCTGTTAGCTTCAGAGAAAAATTTCATACTCTGATAGCAAATAACCTCTCTTCCATAGTCATATGCTGTGTTTCACATAGGATAACTGCTTTTCATTAGAAACCAAAAAAAGTAAATATATTAGAAAGAAGTAAAACTGTAATTCACCGATGGCTAATTTTTGGAACAATACTGTCTGGCTTCTGTGGATGTTCACCTATTTACACTGATAATGAATTTGACCTATTGCGGCAATGCATCTTTGGCAATATTATAACTGATTAAGTGCTAGTGCTGATGTTATCAGAAGATAGAAATGAAGAGACCTTTATTGCACTCTCTCCAACAATTAGGTCGCATGCCATAGATCCTTTCTGCTTCCTCATATGCATAATCATTTGAGACAAAGCCATCACGGAGTTTACCGGCACAGTCTAATGTATAGTGGGCAGGCTGCTTAGGGATGGGTCTCAAGAGATTCTGATCTCCTCAGCTTTCATTTGAGTTAAAGGCTTTTTGCAAAGTCTTAGCGTGAAGCACATATTACAAGTTCAATCCATCCCCTGTAGCAATGATAAGGGAGAAAGTGTATGCTCATTTCAGATTTAAGAAACAGACCACTGTTCACTTGACAGATAAAGATCGCTGTGCTTGAAGTGCCAAAGGTTCAGACATTTTTCTATGAAGACATGAGGTTCTGTAAGCGGAAATAGAAGTCCAAGACTTCTGTGCCCCAGCAAAGGACACTTTTATGTGTATTTAGTTAGTTTTGTGTCACTAGACAATTGTGTTGAAATTATAATAGGTTGAAGCACGAAGCTAAGTTAGAATAGGTGAGATGTTCCCCTGTATATGCAGATGTTTGAGTTCAGACCTTGAAAGGGTTTGTACCAGATGATTAGCACCACCAATTCATCTTGGTCCAGCTATAAATTGGCATAGGGATTTAATAGCCTACAGAATCTGCTATATCCTCCTGATGCAAGACCAATGGACTAACAAAATATTAGAAATTATCTTGAACAAAGCATGAGCTAGTGAAATAAACATATATCCACATGTGTAAAATTATACACACAAAAAGTCTGAAACTATGTTATTCTTTCAGGCACTGTTCTGATGAAATATTCTTAGCTATGTAAAACCTTATTATTATTACTCTATCTCTAAATATACCTTTAATGGCTTCCTTCATGGCCAATATAAATTAGCGTGATTCCACTCATGCTGATGGAGCTATGCTGACTTCTTTCCTTAAGGATAGGACCTTAGGAGTCCTCCTCTTGCTAAATACAGTGAGTATTGCAGAAATTCCCATGGTGGATTGCACTTGGGTTTAGACTCCCTTCTTCTCAGCAGCATGTTACATTCCTTGAAATCTGTATACTGCCCTGGGAACTGGGACTTAACCACAGGAACATAGCAGGAAGCCAGAGAGTTGAATGTAAACACCTTTTCATGTCTCCAGTGTCTTTTGTAAGTTATGGCCATATTAGAATTTTAGTTTTGATCAGGGGCATATATTTGAAGAGAACTTCACAGCTATCCCTGCAAGATGCATTTTGGTCTCAAAGTGCCACAAACTGAATTAATCGCAGAGGAAATTAAGATGAAAGATGCTTTCCAGAAGTTCAGCTGATGAGCTCTAGCTACTGTTGGATGTCCAACAGAAAGGATCTGAACACAGGTAGGTCTCCCATAATGCATATAGTGTGGACATCAGCTCATCAGCACCAACTGTTCTCCTGTGCTGATACTCACATATTACTCTGTGTTAGTCACTAATAGAGACGAAACCTAGGTGCTTTCAGTTTTTGCCATTTGAAGAACTAATTATCTTATTTTGTAGACTAATAAAACCTAGTGGTTTTGAGTTTAAAACCCTTTAGGTCTTGTTGAGGATATTCACTGTAGAATAAGGTTTCAGAAGATCCACCTTAAAGCTCTAGTCAGCTTAGGGCCCTTTTACAGCTTGTATCTGAGTATTCATCATCCACTGTGGGCCAAATCCAAGCAACTTGAGATTAGTCATGTTCTGATTTGTATTTCAAGCCCTGTCTCCCTTCTTCCAAATTCAAGATAGTAGGACTGCAGTTTTACCTTAGCTAAAGAGAGAAATTGAGGTGTAATTTTTCACACTTTCATTGTGAGATGTCTTTGCAAAATAAATCACAGTGGGTTTAAAATGCTAATAGTGCTCTAATATAAGATATCTTGTAGTCATAATAATTTGTTCACTTACAAGTAATGATACAAAAGCAACATGATGGCTTTGAGTCATGATCTGGGGTTTCCAGCATGGAAACATTAAGATAAACGGAAGATAATCTATTCAGATAATTCTATTAATGGCGAAGTCTAATCCTCTTTACCTTAAAAGCACTCATTTGATAGAGTCCATTGTTAGTGAAATGTCAGAAGTGCTTAAATAATAAATACAGTAACCCTACCCTCTTTTACGGAGAAAAAAGCTCATGCAGTATCAGTTAGCGATGGGACAGCTTTTAAACTTACAGTATTTTATTTTGGTTTACCTAAGCATTCAAATCCAGAAGTTTAGCTGCCTATCCAAACAGAGGTAAAACATTCTTTGATGTAGAAACCAGACAGACTATCAGGTGAAATGACCATCCTGGTATCTCAGTTTTGGTGTATCGTCCTGGCAACCCTCAGCCACAGCTTAGTGAAAGCATGCATAAAAGTGAGAAAAACCCATTAAATGTTATGCTCTGGTTTCAGGCATTTTTGTTCTTGCTGTTTGTGTTATCTGGAATCTCATCTCTCCAGTTGCTGCTGTCCAGGATATGAGAGAAGTGCAGTGATGGAATGTGCAGCGCCACTGGTTGGACCAGTAACATACACCAAGTTGGAGAATGCTACTTTCCAATGCCTTCCTTCTCTGTGGAAGGGGAAGGATGTTCCAAAAGAAACTATGGGGAAATACTGAAGACCAGCACACAGAGCAGTAAATCTCCACTCATAAAAAGCCGTTCATTTAAAACACATTGAGAGACTTTTAAATTTCATCCCCCTCTACGTTCTAGGGTCAGAGCATTTGCTCACCTGAATACTATAGCTGTGCTTGTGTTTTGCCCAATCTATAAGCAAAGCTATCCATAAGTAAAGAATTCCCTCACGAACAAGAATATTCTTTATTTCCCTGCTTAATGGGTTTTAGTCATGAAAAATCATGTCACACCACACATAAAAATGAATTGTGTGAAAAAATAAATTACAGGCTGCCCTTTAGTTGCAAACAATTTGCATGAAGTGCACATGAATACTTATGGATAAAAAATATACATTTTAAAAGAGCACTTATAAAAATGTATTACAGAAAAAAAGACCTAAATTGTGTCTGATAAACTGTTTCCAGTTTATCCTAAGATATTCTAAACGCCTTAGAAATCTTTGCTCACTGAGATGTTATGAGGATTAACCTGGTGACAGAAATACAGCAATTTGGAAGTTAAGTGTAAAACACTGTTGGTCAGATTCCAGCAATCTCAGTCCTGTTGAGCACTCTCTTTCCTGGGTGTAACTGCATTAATTTCAATAAAAGTACTTGCACAGCATGTCACTTCTCAGCATAAAGAAATTAGTCATGGCAGAGTCTAATCTCTGTGATTTTCCCTCAACTGGTTTGCCTTTCCCAAAGAACTGCAATGATTTGATCATGATTACATATGCACTTAAATTCAGAGCACAGCGTAATGGTGAGAAGACAAAAATTGCTGTATGTTTACTGTGTCAATGGTGCTATCATTATTGTACCGTAGAAATTTTTGGAAAGTTTCAGTAATACCCTTGCTGCACATTGAGAATATTAAAATAGAACATTATCATAGAGAACTTTCTGCTCTATTTATACAAAGGATTAGTTCTGTAAAATGCACTGAATTTGGATAAATTTTATGTTAAAAAATGTCAGTAAAGCTACGGTCAACCAATATATAGACAAGCACTGTACAAATTTCATTCATGTGCACTGCCCATACATATCTAACCTTTAAATATTCCCATTATTTTAGTCTGGTCTCTAGCTACTCAAAAATGACTCCAGAGTCAAACTAAGCAGGCTAAGATTATAGGCAGATTTTCTCCTGGGAATCACAGAGCAATAATAAGATATTATATAAAAGATAAACAAATATCATGATTAAAAACAGAGCAATAATAAGTATTCTATAAGATATACAGAGGTATCATGATGAATAACATGGATATGGATAAAGACCTTTCAACTTTTGGGGAGGCAACATACAGTAAAGGAAATCCTGCTAAAAAGCATGTTCTTCCAGGCTGCTAGCTGCTGATGAAAAAAAATTAACAATTTTCATGGCAACTCACCATTTCACTGTTACCAGCCACACTTGGATTGTGAACTCGTGGTGGAATCCACTGCTCATAGTTTATCACCTAGATGGTAAGAAAAGTAAAATAAAATAAAAAAAGAAAACCCTACATAAATAAGATGAATAAACATAATTAGTATCGTGTCATTGAATACAGATTGAGAGCTCAGCAGTCTTTCAACCCAGTACTGTGTGCATATAAAAGCAATGGCTGACATACACCAGCTGACATTCATTGAAATCAGTTTGATATTGAGCTGTCTTAATTTCCTTAGTTATCTGGGACCCGGTAACATCTTGGAGACATCACAGTGTATGTGGTATAGCGGCAGAGCCATGCATTATATCATGGAATGCTTGGGTCTCATCCTAGGTCTTGGCTCTCCTTTCTCAATGAACAGGAAAGCCACAGAAGACTTTCCTCAGCAGCAAGCCCCCAGCTGAGGAGCAAGTGTCACTGATGCTTTTCTGAAAAGGGTGTTGTTCCGTTCGCCTCGTTTTGCCTGGGATGTTGAGCCCCAAGGGTATGAGTTTGAATTGGATTAACAGTGCAGAGAAAATGGGAGAACCCTCAGAACTAAGCAAAGACAAGACTATATACACTTTCATCATCTGCCCATAATCCATTTCTTGGTCACAATGTCCTCGTGATAGGAACACCACGAGAATACAGTTTCCCTGGGGCACTGATGCAGTCCCTAGTGGGCAAGCTTGACAGTGCTTATAGCTTATCAGTGAAAGTAATGAACACTAGCCTTTTTTCTTCATGAATATGAATGACACTTTGAAGGCTGAATGCAACCTAAGAATTTACGTGAGAAATGAGGCATGAAACATTTCTGAAAATGTATTAGCCCAAAGACTGTATTATTTCATATTTTATGTCCTTCCCAATATGCTACAAAGGGTTTGAGCCATCAAGGGAGCCCTGCTAGACATGAACAAACAAGAACAAAGATATGAAAAATAAATGCAGAAAGTAAAGCTATTTTTTATGGTAAGGTATGATTATTACAGTGTTGCTCATGCTGCGTCCCTCAACCTGTACTTCTGTTCCAAGCCCCTGTTTTCGAGCACTTACAGAATGAATGGAATGAAATGAGCATCTATTTAGGAAATAGAGAGGGATTAAAGTTTTTGTGAAGTACTTAGGGAAGCTTATTTACTTTCTTTTTTTTCTCTTTTTTTTTTTTTTTTTTTTTTTTTTGAGCCAGAAAGAGAACAACTCTAAAACGTTCATCTATTCTATTTACTCTTGCTTGCAAATTTGGCCCTTCCATGCCTCATAGAG